ATCTCCCTTAAATCGTTTATTTTATAAATGGTCGATACTATTATAAATAAATTAATTATAAATAAAAATTAATAAAAAAATATATAATACAATTAATTTATATATCAATTGCATTCATAACACAAATTGAATGTAGCAGCACTCGTTAGCCATAAATTAATAAAGAATCAAATATGACTATGAATAGAATATTTTTTTATACGAATCAATTAAGATCAATTTCTTCTTTTTTTGTTTTAAACGATTACGAGGGTTTGAATCAACTTATGTGTATTTTGATTAATTTTTTTCCGATTCGGTCAAATACAGATTCATCCACGTGAGAATTAGAAGATTTATGAAAGATAAATCTCTCATAGACTGATCTCAAAAAATTGTCAAAATTCAAATTTAAAACGTCTGAATTTACAGTTCGTCCTTATTGTCGCTTAAACTATCCCTCGAGATTAGTAAGACCCATCTCACTCAATACAACAGACAAACTTAACGGTATATTTTCGGTTTTGTATCGTATTTAAATCTTCTAGTGATAAAATTTATTTAATCTATATTTGATTTATTCATATTCATAAATAGTTGAATATATATCGAGTATGTGTCGTGCATAAGTTATATTTATTGAGTATGTGTCGTGTGAAGGAAATTTCGTGTCGAGTTATTTATTTGACATGTCAAAAAACTGAAATTGTTTTATTACTTGAACCCTGCTAAGACTCAATTTAAATTTATTAATTTCGTATTGATTTTGTATCATACAAAAAAAAAAAAATCAAGAGAAAAAAGAAAAAAGAAATAGAGAAATCTTTAGATAGGCGCGTGAATGTGAGTGGGTTTGAAGCAAACGTTAGCAGAAGTTACCACCCGTATGAGGAATAAGTGACGTAAGCAATTCACGTCTTTATATGAGAATATAAGTACACGTGGCAATCATATAGATATTGCAGAACAGCTGGTAGAATAAAGCAGGGTAACGTATCAATTAGGAAGTGAGGATCACCTGTACTCTCACATTCTCAATCTTCACAAACCTAACCACTCAAAGCTCACCACGTCATAGAATTTTAGAGGTTATCCAACTCTTATTCAATTGGATTCCCAAGTTCAATCCACCACATCTACGTGATAAGAATCGTACGGTCCTGATTTGGTCTATCTCCCTTGAGTGATCTTAGAGGTAAAAATTGTAGGGTGAAATAGTCCAGTTTTGGCCTTGACTTGGGTGCCGACAAATTTTATTACTTTAATTAGTATTTTTATTATTTTTGTGAATTATTTTATAATAATAAATTTATTATTTTTATGGATAATTTATCACTTTTATAGATTTTTTTTTATCACTATTGTGATAACTATTTTTTTAATATAAAAAAAATTATCACTTCCGTGGATAAATTATTACTTTTATATGTATTTTTTACTATTATTGTGATGTAGTGAAAAAAATCTAAAAAAATGATAAATAAAAAGACTAAATTTTTTTTGCCTAGTAGTCAATCTTTTACAGAGAGGCTGAACATACTACAAAATAGTTGAGGTCAAAAGTCCAATAGGATATCAGATGGTGGGTGCTGGCTATAAATATATTGACGCAGTACTCTTACCTTCTTCCTTCCTCAATTCCGTCTCTTACAACTTCATCTCTTGTGTGACAGTGTGGGTGAGAGAGAGAGAGATGGGAAATTGCCAAGCCATTGATAATGCAGCTCTAGTAATACAACATCCAAGTGGTAGAGAAGACAAGCTGTATTGGCCTGTCACTGCTTGTGAAATTATGAAGATGAACCCTGGTCACTATGTTGCTCTTCTCCTCAGCACCACCACCTTGTGCCCATCCTCCACCACCGCTGCCGCCCCCTCCACCAACAATAGCAAAAATCTTACCAATAACAACATCAACCACCACCCAGTTCGTATTACACGGATTAAACTTCTCCGGCCAACTGATACTCTTGTTCTTGGTCATGCTTATAGACTCATCACCACAGAAGGTTTGTTAGTCACTGGTGGTTCTTTAGTTTTTTTTTTGGCTTAAAAATAAGAACATTCAGTTTGATTATTGATATGTGTATGTTTTTTCTGAATTTCTAGAGGTTATGTGGGCAAAAAAGTATGCAAAGATGAAGAAGAAACAACCAGAATCAGCTGAGAAACAAGAAAGAATGAGAGAGAAGCCAGGTTTAGAGTTTGAGACAGCAAGAAACAGCACTGAAATAGATAAGACCAACCAGGTAAACTTCCTGATTTACACACTTTTATAATTTATTGTTGATTTCTGAAGAAAATATTTCTTGAAATTGATTATTGTAAGGAGAAAGGAAATAAAATTGTACATCAGAATAATTGATGAGGGTGTATTTGGTTCTGCTCCAAACACTTTTCTGTTTATAATTAGTTTAATACAAATGTAATCAATATGAGAACCCCCCCCCCAAAAAAAAAATAAAAAAATACAGGTTTGATATAAGTAAAGAAAATGATTCTTCATATCAACTAGTTTCATAAAAACTATTTCTAATGTTTGCTTGCAAATCTTTTTGATTATGTATAGACTGCTGCTTGAAATACTCTCTCTGTTTATGGTTAGTTTATTATACAGAGACCTTAGCAATTGAAGGGGAAAAAAAAGGGTTATTTGTCAATACTATTATTTCCTTAAAGCATGAAAATCTGTCCCACAGAGGCTTTTAGAATCTCCTCCTCTTTTTCTTTTTGGGTAACAGGGGACTTCTGTTTAAAAGGGTTGATCTACAATTCCAAGATCTTATATTATATAACTAGATCTGTAGTTGCATAATAAATTATTATGTGCTGCAATCTCCCAATTAATTTCTGGCATAGGAAAAAGCATACAATTGAACTTCCATACATTGAAGGCTTTCATGAACAAGGAGTACCGACAAAAGCTAGATCAATCCAAAGGGGAAAGAATTGGAGTATTGCTAAAGGGAAATTCAAGATCTTCTTACCAAATAGTTAATCTGCAAAAGCCATTCTCCATGGAGTTGTGATGGATTGTCTGCAAAAGAGCTAAATTAGAAAGAGGATCTCTAATTTTAGCAATAAATTACAAACCACTGAATGATGCTTTACTATGGATAAAATATCCAATTCCAAGTAAAAAAGGCTTATCAGGAGCAATACATAACACTTGTACAGTTCCAAAGTGACATGAAATTAGGATAAATCGAAATATTGAAAAAAGATCACTATAGAAATTGACATTTATAGTTCCGTTTGCTCAATCTGAATGGAAAATAATGTTGTTTGGTCTAAAAAATGATTCATTGGAGTTTCGAAATACAATGAACAAAAATTTTCGTTTATAAGTTGATTGTTCTATCATCAGTATTGATTGTGTATTTAAGTGTTCAAGTGCATATGACTAATATTGAACACATTTCTCAGGGTAAGTTTATCTTCATAAGATATTAATTCGATTGAAAGATCAATTTAATTACTTTGTGATGGATGTAGGAATCTAAAAAACTGCTACTGCTACAGGTAAAACAATGGGGAAGGGGGCAACATTGGGCATCTAAAAGTTCATTTCTCAATAATATTCTTTTCTCAGTGATGAAAATGTTTCTCTAAATATATACAGCATTTCAGGTGAGAAAACACGAAGGAAATCGTCCAAGAACAACTTCATCGGCAAACTCTGCTGCTGCTAAATTAAGAACATGGCAACCCTCCTTACATAGCATCTCGGAGGCCGCAAGCTGATTGTTTTATATCTGTTAAGTCCTTTGTATGAGAAAGAAGTGAGCTTCTTTAACTGCTGAGAATCAATATAGGACATCCCGGAGGTGGTTAGTGTGCCAAGTGATTCAAAAGAGTTCCTCGAGAGCAGGTTCTGATGTGTTGAACTTGTATAGCAATGAAAGATCAACTCATACAACATTACTGTAATTAACTGCTGTCCTTTCCTAGCCTCAAAACTTCGTTCTTGAAGGATGTTAAACAAATCACTTGCACTCCATGAGTCGGTTCCCAGCATTTTTACATCTTTCAAGTTTGAAAAGTTTCTACTGCCACCTTCCGGTTCAGTTGAATTCACAACTTTGTGCATCTGTGAAAGAAAGCTTCCTAATGATATGCGGGACAAACATTGTTATTATTTTCCTAAGTTGCCAATAGATCTCCAACGGGCACTGAAATTGGTCCTGCACCAGGGTCAACCCCCCTCCCCAGCCCCCAAAAAAAAAAAAAAAAACACACACCATGGAGCTGCAGAACTCAGGTGGATAAAGGGAAGAGGTAATATTTGATCTAATAGGACTTTTCATCTTCACCCTAACACCAAAAATGCAGAACATAAATCCTCCTTGCTTCTTAAGTTAGGTCAATCTTCCATGTTAAGTTTTTTACTGGCTACTTACTTTCAATCTAAGTTTGTCACATTACCTGCTGAAATGTATAATGCCAACTAGGGTCAGAAAAAGATACTTCAAACACCTTAATGATAAAAAAAAAGAAGAAATAAAAGCATTTCTTTCATGACAGATAATGAATGGTAGAGCAGGAGTTACAAGAATACAAGTAATCATTATGTTTTGTTTTTTTGACTTTGAGACAATCATATTGATCACCTTTTGGTGCATTGTGATTTGTGAGGAGTGGAATCATTCTCCCTAGGCCAATAATGCAATTAGATCCTTCTTCCTTCAGGCTGCCAAAGGAATCAGAAAAGTTCTATAAAAGCAGAAAATGACCTTTTTTTTTCTTTGTTGCTTCAAATAAAATAATTGGACGGCCGTAGGCAGAGAAAGGAACCTTCAAAATTGCAGGCCCTTCAGCTTGAATTCGACACAATGAGGATGACACAGCGTTGAAGTTGCTCCATTCGTTTTCTGAACATCATATCTCTGCACAGTAATAAAGCTGCACATCTCTGATGCTCCTCAAATACTGTAGTTTGATCCCAAAAAAAAATACTTCAGTGTGAGAGTCTCATGCACAGTGAAACTCTATAATTAGCAAATAAGTAGAAAATCATTGCAGAAGTAATCCATGATATAAGTTTCTAAATTCTTAAAAAAATTGACAACAGTAAATGAAGGTGGTCCATCCCAACCCTGAAGAATAATCTCAATTGATAGTAGCTTCATTCAACTTGCATTTCTCCATTAAGAATATGAAAGAACAGATAACTAACAGCAATCATTGCTTGGACGGTTTCCTGCCTCAAGAGGGGGAGGGAAAATGAACACTCATAATATTTCATCTACCAAAGACTTTGAAAATGGCCCTTGGAATGATAATGTTCACAAGCCTCTTACATCCTCGCTATCTACATAAAATCCTGGTATACTGGTCATTAGTAAAATAGAAACGACTAACTTCTCATTATGCAAAGCAACCGTTTGCTCTTTCTTTATCACACCTCACATCAAATTCAAATTCCAGTGAATTGGTAACATTACATAGATGGCTTGCCCTTCTCAATATCTGATTTTGAATCTCTGCAAGAAATGGTTGCAACCAGCCAGAAAAGTTGAAGCTCTTTCCCATTAGTTTCCCATTCAAGCAGTGAAACAAATGTGAACACACCTCAACCCCCTGAGGTTGGGTGGTGTGCCCCAGGGGGTGGGGGAGGACTTTGAGAAGTAATATGAAACCAATAACACAAGATTAAGAATCATGACTTTTGAAGGATTAGAAAAATGTATTTCCATTGTTTTCACAGGTGTTTGATAGGTAATATGATGGCAGATTAAAATGAAAACAGAAAAGGATGAATCATCCCAGAACAAGCACAAAATTGACCAAAGCAACATAAACCAGTCTTCAACAAGGCTAGTTGAGTTGGTTCCCATCTATTACATCTGTCTGCAAGAGGTCTCCAACAGGCACTAAAATTGCTAACCCCCCCCCCCCCCCACCAAAAAAAAAAAAAAGAGGGGGGGGGCTCTAAAACTTAAGCGGTAAGAAGGTAAATAGGAGAAGTAATATTCTCTGTAAGAGGCATTTTCATCTTCACCCTAACATGAAAATGAGTTACGTACTAACTCTTCCTTGCTTCTTAGATAAATGTTCAATTAATAAACTGGAAGATTGAGTAACCGAAAAAAACTATGCAGTCGATCTAAGTTTGTCACATAACCTGTTGAGGTAGATGTAAAATGCTAACTAGGATCCGAAAAAAAAGAAGATATATNATTGAGTAACCGAAAAAAACTATGCAGTCGATCTAAGTTTGTCACATAACCTGTTGAGGTAGATGTAAAATGCTAACTAGGATCCGAAAAAAAAGAAGATATATGAAGTATTAACACCTTAATGATATAGAAAAGAACAAAAGAACTTCTTTCATGACAGAGANAAGATATATGAAATATTAACACCTTAATGATATAGAAAAGAACAAAAGAACTTCTTTCATGACAGAGAATGGACGATAGAGCAGGGTTTACAAGAATACTAGTAATCATCATGCTTTGTATATTTTTGACTTTGATGCAATCATATTGATCTCCTTATGGTGCATTGTGAGGAGGGGAATAATTCTTGCCAACTCAATGCAGTTAGATTCTTCTCTTCCTTCACAGGCCCAAACGAATCAGAAAAGTTCTATAAAAGCAGAAAATGACTTTATAATTCTTTGTTGCTTCAAATAGAACAATTGGATGGCTGTAAGCAGAGAAAGGAACCTCCACAATTGCAAAAATTTAGCTTGAGATCAAAATAGGGGACTTGACACATCAGTAAAGTTGCTCCATTGTTATTTGAGTGTTACAAATTTGAGTCATGGAAACAATCTCTCCTCAGAGTAATAAAACTACATGTCCCAGACTCTTCTCTGAAGGTGGTCCATCCCAACCCTGAGGGATTATTTCAATTGATTGTAGCTTCATTCAACTGGCATTTCTCCCATAAGAATATGAAAGAACCGATAACCAACAGCAATCACTGCTTGGACGGATTCCTGCCTCAAAAGAGGGGGAGGCAATATGAACATTCATGATAGTTCTTCTATCAGAGACTCTGAAAATGGCCCTTGGAATGATAATGTTCATAAGCCCCATAGATCACTCGCCATCTGCATAAAATACTGGAATAATGGTCATCCATNTTGGAATGATAATGTTCATAAGCCCCATAGATCACTCGCCATCTGCATAAAATACTGGAATAATGGTCATCCATACAACAGCAACAGCTTACTTCTAGTGACACAAACCAACCATTTGTTCTTTCTTTATTGCTGTTCAAATCAAATTAAAATTCCAGTGAATAGGCAACATTAAACTGATAGCTTGTCCTTTTCAATATCTGATTTTGAATGTTTTGAATCTCTCCAAGCAATGGTTGCAGCCAATCAGAAAGTGGAAACTCATAAATCACACAACTTAGCTTAATCAAACTGCACCCAGGGCTTAACTCATTTCTTCGCTGCCGATTAGTTTCCCATTCAAGCAGGGAAACAAATGTAACACAAGATTAAGTATTACGAGTTTTGAAGGTTAGAACAATGTATTTGCATTGCCTGCAGAAGTACTTAATAGGTAAAATGACAACTGATAAAAAAGGGAAACAGAGAAGCATGAATCTTCCCAGGACAACCACAAAATTGACCAAAGCAACATAAACCAAGCTTCAACAAGGCTAGTTGAGCNGGAAACAGAGAAGCATGAATCTTCCCAGGACAACCACAAAATTGACCAAAGCAACATAAACCAAGCTTCAACAAGGCTAGTTGAGCTATCTGCCAAGTGCTCCATAGAATATTGTCCAACACATAGAGAAGGTTTTATTGATGAGAGAGAGGGATGGTAAATCTTCATATACCTTACATCCAAGGGACAGAACCACTGCTACAGTCTCTCCTTTGAGTAATACAAGCTTGTCTAGACACTCCAGGCTTCTCTTTCAAGGTAGTGTGTGGCCAGCGATGGCGACCATTGATGAGATCCTACAGCATCTTGGGTCTCGGCAAAAACGAGTCTGTAAAATGGCAGAATAAATATATAAGATCTGAAACAAAAGTTAATATTCTCGACAAGGTCTGAAATTTTAGAGACTTTTCTTCAAATAAAAAATAACATATGAACTGTAGCAACTTCAAATCTTTTAAAACAAAGATCTAGTGGTTGTGCAGATAATACGAAACTTTTGTTGGCCAAATTACTGCTTTATAAATTGATAACAATTAATCTAACAAAATAATCGAATTGCATTCTACTTTGCGCCCTTACTTTAATATGTCAATCATTTGATTAATATTACCNAATTAATCTAACAAAATAATCGAATTGCATTCTACTTTGCGCCCTTACTTTAATATGTCAATCATTTGATTAATATTACCATTGAGGACCTAATCTAATTAGATATAGCCGTTGACTGTACATTAAACTACAGGGCGGTTTGCAACATACAATTCCATTGAAGCTCAACTTAGTGACAGCACTAAATTTTGGACTCAAGGTATTCCTTTAGCTCATGGAGCTTCCTGAATCATATGTCTTCTCACAGTTTGAACCTTCCTTTACTTACGGCACTATATCAGATAGACAAGTGGGTGAATGCAACAAGTGTTCTCTATTTGGCCACACATAAGTTTCCTCTTTTTTAAGCAGTGCCAAAGCTCAAATTTTTAAGTGCAGATCAGCAATGTCTTCTCTTGATAAAGTTGATCCATGGAAAATGGAATGATCTTGATTGATCAAATCTTCATCAAACTGGCACTTCTGAGATCAGAACTATGAAACTTGATAACTACCAAAAATCATTGCACGAACAGCTTCCCTCTTTGAAAGTGTGGAAACGAGAACGATCTCTAACAATGATTACTCTACCATAAACCTTGGAAACGGCCTTCAGAGCTGAATGACAATCCTCACAAGTTCTTAAATTTTTAACTATTCGAATGGATGTCCCAGGCTCAGTACTCATCAATCCAAAAGCAATAGCTAGTTTCTCACTATGCCAAGCCACTGCTTGTTCTTTCTCTTCCTCACTCAAATCAAATGAAACCTGCATGGTAGTAACAACATAGCCTCCCAGGCTAGCCCTTTTCAAAATCTCATTCAACTTATATCGGATCTCTACAATCTGCGTGTGCAACCGATCAGCAACTCGAAACTCATGAACAACACCATTAACCTCAATCCAACTACATCCAGGGGTAGATTCATTCTTTCTCTCACCCATTAGCTTCCTCACCTGAGCAACTCTGTCCCATTTTCCTAGAGAAGCATGTAAGTTTGAAAGTAGGACCTCACCTCCAATATGACCCCTTCCACCCATTTGCTCAATATGAACTATGATCCGCTCTCCAAGATCAGCATCGCGATGAATTCTGCAAGCACTAAGTAAAGCTCTCCATATAACAATATCGGGTTCAATAGGCATGCATTTAACAACTTTGAATGCCCTTTCCAAGTAGCCAGCACGACCAAGTAAATCAATATAACAGCCATAGTGCTCAATCTTGGGCACAATCTCCCACAAGCTCTCCATATTGCAGAAGATTGAAGAACCCTCCTCTACTAAACCTGAATGGCTGCATCCATTTAGAACCCCTAAAATAGTAACCTCATTTGGCTTAACATTTGCAGCTAACATCTGATTGAACACACACAAAGCATCCTTACCAAGCCCGTGAATTGATAATCCCGAAATTATGCTCGTAAAATTGAGAACATCTGGTTCAGAAATCTTAGTAAAAATTCGACTTGCACTGTCTATCCTGCCACATTTTGCATGCATATCAATAAGAGCGGTAGAGATGTTTGAACTTTGCAAAATTCCGTTCTTATCTATCCAAGCATGAATCCAGTTCCCTTGGTCCGAAGCCCCTAGATGAGCACAAGCAGATAAAGCACAAACAATAACGGCCTCATTAGGCTTTACCTTATGGTCATCACATAACATTTCATGGAAATATTTAAGAGCCTCAATATACCTTCCATCTGCTACAAAACCTGAAATCATAACAGCCCAAGAAACCTCGTTACGCAGCGGCATTTCCCCAAATATTTCACACGCTCTGCCCATCTCCCCATTTTTGGCATACCCACATATCAGACTAGTCCATGAGAACACGTCTCGTTCAGACATTTCATTGAAAACTTTGTGGGCATCATCCATTTCCCTGAATACACAATACATATTTACAAATGAATTTGCCACGTATAAATTGGATCGATACCCATTTCTTGTCACCATCCCATGAACAATTTGGCCATGTACTTTGGACAATTGGTGGGAACATGAAGTGATTAGAAAAGTGAATGTGTACTTGTCGGGGACAACCCGGATAGGATGGTTTAAACTGATCATCAGATGGAATAGATTGGTGGATTCTGCTGAATTGTGAAGTTTGGAGCAAGCTCTGATCATCAGATTCCATAGTAGAGTGGGTGGTGAAGGCAAAGGATATCTATCGAACAAGGCTCTTGCAGTGGTGAGATTGTTGGTGCTGAGGTAACAGTGGATAAGAGAATCTGTCAGGGAAACATGTGAGAATGGGTGTGTGAGTACTTGGGCGTGTATTTGCTTGAGTTGAGAAAGAAGTGGGCGTTGGTTCAGGAGTTGAGAGAGTGTTTCTGGATTTGGGTGGACAGTTGGGTCTTTGGTGGTTGGTGTGGAAATGGCGGGAAAGGTGTTTGCTGAACTAAAACAGAGACATGCTCTAAATTCTAAGAGTTCTAAAGGAGCTACAGAGCATTTAGATTTGAGCCTCGAAATTACATGCATTTGAAAGATTTTCGACAAGGTAGAATAGGTTCTGATGTTTTACATATGGCGGTCAGGTCGTCAATTGTCACTAGACCGTCTCTGGTGCTAGTCAGAACGGAATCAAACACAATTAGGCCTGTTTGGTACGTGGCATTGGGAGGTTTTGGAATATGGGTGGGAGAATAAATTTCTTCAAATTCATATTTGACAAATATATATTTAGTTCAAAGTCTAAAATCCGGTCCATTTAAGTCCAGTCATGAAAACCAAGTTCATGAGTTTCATGAAATTCATGAGGAATAGGTTTCATATGTTGGTTAGTGGGTTTAACATCTAAATTATATTTATACTATTCATATATCATATATACTCGATATTGTTTAAGGGGTACAATAGTAATTTATATATAAATATATTATCATAATAGTCATATATCTCTGCGCATACCAAACATGGATATAGACAATATTAAATGTTAAATTCCATTTTTGAATTCTATTTTTGGGTTTGGACAAGCCAATCCAAACTCCTCCCAAAAAAATACCAAAAAGACTCTTAGGATTAATAATTGAACCAAATTATTTGAGTTCGACTCATTTTAAACTCGTTGGGCTCTATTCGTCTTTTAAATAAGTCGAATTTAAATAATTTTTTATGCTCGTTTAGAAAGAAACTCGGCATGCTTGACTTGAATTTGACCTGCTCCTCTCATTTACGTGTAAATAATTAGAATCGGTTTGGTTTGGATTTGGCTCGTTCTGGGTTCATTCAAGCTCGGCTCATTTTCTAAACAAACAGAATTTGAATAATTTTTTAGATTCGTTAAAAAAAATAAACTTGACTCGAACTTGTTCAAACTCGTTTGATTACTAACTCTAAACACAATGTTCATTTGGCAAAAAAAAACACTAGATTAGCGCCTCTTTGGAGTAAATTGCTAAGTTAATTCTAACGCTTTGGTGGGGTTAGAATTCAACTGTGGTTCAAGTCGTTTTAGGGAGTGCCTATGAGTTTCCTTCTCTAGGCCCTTATGGAGGTCTTTCCCTAGAGTACAAACTATTATGATGAAAAAATAGAATAATGGAAAGTTAAGAAGATAGAAAGTTGGAGGGATGAATAAAACATCATGTTTGATAAGGAAGAATGAAAAAGTGGATGAATTCATTTTCATTCCAACTCATCAAAATCAATCCCATAAAAATCGGAAGAAAAATGGATAGAAAATTAATTATTTGTGTTGAGATGTATCTTATTTATCTATATATTATGTATATATTAATTTCATATAAAAATATAATGGTAAAATATATATATATTGATGGTGTATTTCAACGTAAAGCCATTTTTGTGATGACGAGTAATGAAAGAAACAATATTGGAATTATTGGGATCTAAGCTATTAGACTCGAGGAAATTGTTGGAGAGTTGGAGAATTAACACAGTAGAAATATAATGGTTCGCCAGCTCGAGAGTTTGGTTAGTCCACTCTGGAATGGAGGCTCTTACTCATTTTCTTTCAATAATTGCCGTTACAAGGTTACAATGGCTCCTTTTTGTTTCTAGGGTCCCTCCCCCTGTTAGGAGGTGTTACATTGCATTTATAGGGTCATTCCTTGCTAAGTGGAATCATGGCCGAGATTTTTGCCCTTACTTCATGGGGTTCTCCCTAATTTTTAGAAGAAGATCTTGGTTGGGTGAGATTAGGTGCCTTGATTATAGCTTCCTAACGCTTTAGTAACCTCTCGTGATTATCCAGTTGTTGCTTTGGTTGTCATTGCCATCGCTTATCTCGAGGGTACCTCCAGCTCTACTCTTTCGAGTTCTGCTTGCCTAGTCTGACCTCCTGAGCTGGCACTTTCTGCTTGCCTAGTCTGACCTCCTAAGTTGGCACTTGAGATTTATTTTGAGGTATCATCAGTTGCCCCCCAGCCCTTGGCCCAAGCGAGCTTGGGCATGGGCTGAGTTGCTTTCACCTTGGACCAGACCTGCACCTAACTGACCTTAGTCCGTATGTGGGATGCACGTGGGATGGGATTTTGACGGTTTATAGCAATCATGGCTTCCTTGATTCTTGCGCATATTTCAGCCCACGTAATTCAAGCTTTAAATGCTCAAACGGCTACCCAAAAACCGCTCAAAATCCCCTGTTCATCTTCTACGCTGTTCACCTTCGTCTCCGGCTCTTTCTTTCTGCTATTTCTGGGCTTTCCTCCACATGATTCCCTTATTTTCTGCTCTAGACTGTGCTTTCTGGGTTCGACTCAAAGTCTTGCTTTGTTCCCATTTTCCAATTTTGTTCTCTGGCTGTTGTTTGCTGCTCTCTTCCCTGTCTAGGTACGCTTCCTTCTGCCCCTTTCTCTTTCTCTTACCTTTCCTCACTCTGGATCCCTCGACTTTGAGGTGACCATTATTTTTTTGGATTTTTCGATTCTTTTTCTTTTGGAATCGCGATCGTTGCCTATCTCTTCTTCCCCGCTTTGTGGATTGGAACTCCACTGTGCGAATTCTTACTATTGGGAGGTACAGTGTTGACCCTAGGATTATCAGGAGGTGTTTAGTTAGTATTCCCCCTTTTTATCATTCTTTCTCCTTGCCTTTCTCCTTGTCAATCATGTCTGCCTCCTCTGAAGCAACTCTTTCCTCTGTTTTCCTCTTAGACGATAGGTCTACTGAAAGAGATTCTGATTTAGGGGATGTAGGTGACGAGATTGACAACTTTCCTAGATTAGACTCTACTAAGGTAGAGGTGAAAACTGAGAAGGCCTCCTCCACCTCTTCTCCCATGCCAGATAGACCTGATAAGGGTAAGGGCAAAGTAAGTGGTGTGGAAGTCATTGTTTCAGTCGCAGGGGCTACCTTTAGGAACACTGAACTTGTAGGTCCCAACACACTTACCCCTTTTGACCTGAAGGTTTTCAGTGCTCGCTTTGGTTTTTCCCCCAGGAGTTCAGCCTTGGAGTCCTGATAAGTACACCATATATGTTCACCATGTCCATAAGAAAGTCTGTTTCTTCCTGGTAGCTTTTGATAACGGACTTCGGTTCCCCATTCATCCTTTTATCAAAGGTGTCCTTCAACACTTCAATGTTTGCCCTGCCCAACTCTCCCCCAACTTCTGGGGTGTTCTTGTGGGTTTACTAGTCTTCTTTAGGGACCATAAGCTCGGGGTCCCTACTGTTTCCATACTTATGGAGCTGTTCAATGTCAAGCAGACCTCCTCTGACGGTTTTCTGTATATTTCCAAGAGGGCTAAGGCCAAACAAGTCATCTTTGACCTCCCAAGCTCCCATAAAGGTTGGAAGAAATAATTTTTCTTTGTAGGCGGTANAGGGCTAGAACAAATAATTTTTCTTTGTAGGTGGTACACAGTGGAAGTTCAACTCAAAGGATAAAACTGATACCCTCCTCATCCCTACAGAGTGGTCTGCCCACGATAATTTGGGTATGTTTCTGCCCAGACCGTATTTAATCCAAGTCTGGCTGCTTTGTTAACTTATTTCTTATTTTCCTTGGTTTTCTAGGTATCCGACCTGAGCTCAGTGCTGAAGAAGAGCGAGTATTGCAGAAATTGGAAAAGTGCAAACCAAAAAGATATTCTAAGCTCATCTAACCTTAGGCTCTTGTAAAACACGGGTTCCGCCTTCCTGAGGTGAAGGTTGAAGCTCCCCTTCCACTTTTTGTTGCTGGCCCCATCCTGCTTTCCGCCGCAGATATATCAGGTAACACTTTTTCTTTGCACCTTCTCTCCTCTTTTCTCTGTCTAAGGGCGAGGTTTAGCTATTCTTAGGTCCCGCAAGTTCATCCTCAATGGAGCCTTCTACTGCTGAACTCAGGGCTAAACTTTTCCAAATGAAGAATATCAAGGATAGCAACAAGAGCAGCAGCAAGAGCAGTCCCAAACGCAAGTCGGGACCCAGCTCTGTCGATGTCTCCCCTCCTCCTACCAAGGTGCTTAGGACAGGCATGTCACTCACTTCCTCTGCTCCAGCTGTCCTAGACTTCTCTTCCCAAGGCAATTTTCCTGCTACTCCAAGTGTTGCTGCTTCAGGACAGACATCCCCTTTTGCTTCTGAGGTCGAGAGAGCTGTGGAGACGACCTCCCGGATCTTGGTCTCTCTTAGTCCGCCTGCTATATTAATCAATCCTCCCCTACCTGAGGGCTCCAAGGTTGTAAAGGAGGAGCTCCTCAAGACAGACAAAAGTGAGGGCTCCTTTCTTGATAACCCCGACCTTACTGCAGGGGCTCTTTCCTCTATTCTTCCCAATGCTGATATAAAAAAGGCCTTTTCACTGTCTCTTGAGAATTCAATAAGCTTCGTTCTTTACGGATTAACTGTGATAAGTTCTTGTTCACATTTATGACCTCTTCTTTCTTTTTGAACTTTTCTAACTTTTGTCTGTTTTTCTCTTGCCCCAAGTTTGCTATCCATGCCAAGAGCTTGATGAATAGGGTCCTGTCTGCGGAGAATTCTGCCAAAATGGTGAGGGCTTACGAAGTTAAGGTTGCCGAGTTGGCTTTTGAAAATGATGATCTGCGAGCTCAGCTACAAGACAAAGTGGGGAAGTAGGCTTCCACTATGGAGGGCTTAGAAGTTGCGAAGGCCAAAGCTGAGGAGGGGGAGAGAAAGGCTAGGGAAGCCTGGGCCAAGGCTAGCCATGAGGCTTTTGCTGCTCAGAGCTCTTTTGCAAGCTTAACCAGAGATTTTGTTCCCCTATCTGATGCTAATGGCACCTTTTGTAGCGAGTTTGAAGAGCTAAATGCTGCTATATCTGCAAAGGACAAAGACATTGCCAAGTTGCGGGATGATATTACAACCAAATGGGTCTCTAGGTGGCTTGCTTTCCAAGGAAAAGCTAAGGAGACCTACCCTGACCTGAATTTTGACTTTGATGTTTCCAACGATGAAGACACAGAGGTGGCTGAAGCAGAAGGTGAAGGTGAGCCCCCTGCCTCTTCAGACGTCCCTGCTGCCAAGCTCCCCTCCCCTACTGACCTTGCCACTGAGGCTTCAGTTCTCCCACCTTC